GTACTAACAGGTACTTAAGAAATGCAGTCAGGTGCAAGCTGTAATGTGTGAGCAGGAACTGGTCTGCATCAGAGATAATAAAAACCGGCTACTGGCGGAAGGAGCTGGCCAAACTCCAGGAACAACTTAAGGTCAAAGTGGAACTAAAGTCCTTCTTAAAAGGAGAGAGACATTTGGGAAGTCAGAAAACAGAAGTGGCCGTCCTGCAAAATCACTCAGCATGAGAATCAGTCCAAATGATCTCTGTGCAGAAAAGAAAGAAAGGAGCCATTCAAAGTTTACCTCACATAAGATCCTCCCCACTGTAGATATAAAACCTGGAAAGTACTAGGCAGTTACTAGGAGTTTCAGGAGGGGGTCTGAACACGAGTACCAGTTCTGAGGTGTGAGTTTGTACCTATTTTCTGAGAGGCCCATCTGCAAAGATAACTTTGCAACACTGCAATTGGAGCATGAACTCTGTGGGCTGCCCAAGCCATAACAACTGAAATGTAAAATTTCTGGGAGGTCTGTGATGGACTTGGATGGTTGTAGCGAACTATTTTCACTGTATGAAGCATTTACAGCACACTGTGACCCAATTTTTGAATTCCTTATGTTTTGGCAGATTCATGTAAGGCCGCAGCTAGCTTCTCAATGAGAGCTGAAGGGGCATTGTCCCCTTCCTCCACCAGCGGGATAAGCTTGAACAAAGTTTTTCAGCTGCCAGCCTTGCCCTGGGATTAGTGCGGGGAGCAATACAGCAGGATGTTTTGACCTTTCAGGGGTAAGGCATGGCAATCCACTTGCCAGGCAGCGGAGTGACAGCAGCAGCAGGGCTGCACCGCGGGGAAAGATCCTACAAGCACATCTGGCAGCTCTTCAGTCAGAAAGGGAAAGCACTGAGTTGCCAGAACAGGCTGCCTTTAGGGGCAGAGAAAAGAGCTAATTTCAACTATTTCACAGGGAGTCCTGGGCTCTGAACTAAGGGAACGGACTAGTTCTGGTTCTTGCCCAGCCTTGGTGGGCTGGTCGCTGCCACTTGCACAGCAGCGGAGACCTGCCCTTTCGGATGTCCCCAAAAGATGTTCCTCCTCTGGCCAGGCTGTGTTGTGGTGGCCACAGCCGATGTCCTGTACGGCACACTGCCATCCTTCTGGAAGGACACTGGATGTACATTTACAAAGCAATATAAAGCTTACATACTGGCTGCGTGATTTCAGCGTTGGTAATGCAAAGAAATATACCTAGAATTGCACAAAGGAGCATAATAATAATAATATAAAAAATCACCCGTGGAATTGTTTTGTCAAAAATATTAGACGGGGTATTTTAAAGAGCAAAGTAGCTAGTTAAACCCGCCGGGCCCCTCTCTGTTCCTCCACAGAGCAGCTGTCTAAGGTTCCCGTACCGATTCAAGGAGGCTGAACCCAGATTCCGCTGTCGCGCCGCCAGCCAGCACAGGCGGCCGTACAGCTGCAAACCGAGGGACAAAATCAACGTCGTTATAGTTAATGATGAGGAAGAACCCCGAGGGGTGAGTGACCTGTTCCTTAACCGAGGAGCACTGAAATACCTGACGTACCAGTTCCAGTCTCCTGGGGCGGGACTGCTAGTGGAAAATACCACCCCGCCCGGCCAAACGCAAGTCTCCCAAGGGCCAGCGGCGAAGGGAAACTTCTGACTGGAAGGACAGGGCGGTTAATTTGTTTTTCTCCCCGGTTCACTACAGACCGGCTCGGCCTCCCCCTCCCACCAAACCTCCCCTCACGGCCCCTTTAAATCCACTCCTTACCCCCCCCCCAGACCTCGCCAGCTCGTCCCCTCAGGCGAGCCCGCCAACGGGGGAAGCGAAGCGAGGCGGGGCCCCGCGTTCCCCA